TGAAATTAAAATTTTATTAAAGCAAAGTTTGCTAAATGTAATTTATCTCTTTGAAGAACACTTTGTGTTCTCTTAATCTATAATTACTTTTTAATCACTGACTGCTCAAAAATTGTAAATGCTCCAATGTTTTTTTAAAGTCGAATCGAATTTAAATGAGTAGTCAAAGAATGTATTTTCGAAAATTAATGCCGTAGAATGTCTCGTATAGATTTCATAATTTAATATAAACATATTATGAAATATTTCGTATCGTTAAATATTTGACAATATAGAAAATAATATATAATCAGGCGCGTATTATTACATTTTGCTGCGCTTATAACAGGCGTCGCTATGGGAAAGTCGATAAACGGTGTCAATGTCGTAGGTTACGTGTAACTGCTCGCTCGCAGGTAAGGGAGTTTAGTGATTTAGGAGTAATTGCGATGCCGGGCGATGATTCGCGTGGGAATGCAACAGGGCACCGTGTTCGATAAGCTCCGCGGAACAATAACAATTAAACCGGCTAACTCGTAATGCCAAAATATAATATAAACACGAACAATGCTGCGCCCGTCAGTCGAGGAGGGACGAGCGGTCGTCCGACAATGCCCGCCGTGCTTTCGTTAGACAAAAGCAAGATTCTCTCGAAGGCTCCTTCCTTCGGGCAGAGAGATCGTAAGTCGAGGAAGAGCTTAAGCCGGTCGCGTCTTACTACACGTCGCGGTCGTTTCAGAGAGAGCGCGCGAGGGGAGAGGGAGATCGTAGAATTTAATTAAAATCCACCCGACTGCTCGCGCGAGCGCGCGAAACTTTACGTTTCAGAAAATGTTGCGAGGGGGGTGGTGATGGGGATGGGGGCGGGGACCGACGACGCTGTGATTTACGAGCGCGCACATTCGCTTTTTCATTATACGGTAATTATCAATGCATGATTATTGATACAATTATTTGACAAGCTAATAACGTGGCGTGTGTACATACATATCTCCCGTTTTGCTGGTTATTAATTAATTATTGCGATGCATTAATTGTATTATGTTGATGACAATCGCGCTGCCAAAGCCGATTTTCGTCGCCCAAAACTTTTACCGCAAAATCCCGGCAATATGAACAAATTCCCGGCTTATTTTCGTGCTTGCCTGCTAACGAATACGACACGAAGGGTAGGGGGTGAGAGCGAGAGGAGGAAGTTTCTTTATCCTTTTTGCGTATTTCGTCCAATTCATCGGCGCGCTCTCACCCGCGCAAGCGACACTTTAAATCAAACGCAGTTGATGTTCGCAATGTGCCTCCGACGAATTGGTGGTTAAAACGTAGCCATGATAAATCTCGAAACTACGCCACGCACAAAGTGCGTCATCGGCTTTAAAGAGCGTGCACGCGCCGAGAGATACTCGCAACCGATGGAACGATTTAAATTTGATATTTTTTATCCGCGCGTTTCGATCGCCGTGAGATATTAGCCGAGAATCACGATGGGAAAACAGGCGAAAGAGTTCGTCTCGTTAATGCCGTATGATGGGATTTTATAATTCATCGCGCGCGTTTCGATTCGCTCGATTCGTGGCCCCCCTATTATTGTTTGAGAAAATACCATTGGTAACGGTACCGCTGCAGATAAAATGCGATTACATTAGCGAAGATGATCGTTGTAATATGTACTTATTACAAAAAAAATATTTGAGAATCGCTTAGCATTTTAATTTTTTCGTTACAGGTTACTCGTGTAAATTTACATTTTATCATGCGAGTATTAAACGCAATGTAGAAATTTAAATTATGTTATTTAATCATCTCGGAATAAAATTAATTTTACATAACATGTAACGTATATACAGATAAGTGCACTAGAACAGTTTTCTAAAGAGTACCATTTACTTTTTAATAACATTCTTTTTATTTATGAAACGAGTCGAAACGGTGGACTGCACGTACTCGTAAGATGGTAGTATCAAGAGCATTAGCATATAAATTAAAATTTTCACATAATTATTATAGAATTATCGTGCAAGTTTATCGTCGGAGGATATTAACATATAGAAACGCCACGGTAAAATAATCTAGTTAGTCTCCCAAGGACAAAATTTCCATAGCTGAACTCACGAAGAATTTCCCCCAATCGTTCTCGAGGCCTTCATTATCGTCGCGTTTACACGTCCACTCGTCAATGAATAATCCGCACTTCCGTATCGCTATACAAACTAGGGTGAAAGAGAGAGAAATCGAGAGATTTCACCCTTGGCGAGTTCTCGAGCCACGACTTCTACCTCGGGAGCGTATGATTAAACAACTCAGGTGTTTTATGCTCGACTCGTAGTGATCGCGTGACCCAACGGCCACATCCGTTTCCGCTGTTGCGTACGGTCAACCGCTTCGACCCCTAACCAATGGTTCGCCTTAAGGGTTGCACGTTACCATCGACCGCGAAAGAAAGTATACTTTTGCCGACGTATCTTTAAGCCGTAATCGGCTCCGCTCGATAGTCACGCGCCGACGAGGAGCTGCCCGCGTGAGCTATTAAATTTTCCTTTATCCAACTACGTCCCGCGACAATGATTTTGTTTCCACGTTTTGTAAGGATATCCGTTTGAGAATCGTAAAACAGTGGCTTCCAACAATTAAAATGAAGGGGTATATCTCCTGACGATTGCGCAAAAATCACAGCTGAGTTTTACAACTTTATACTCATGATATTAATCAGATTCTTGGACTTGAATTTAAAGTCAGTCTTTTTTTTCAACAAAATTTGCAGACATTATTTTTATATAATTAGCAAAGTATAATTTATAATTTAGATTATGGCATTCAAAATAAAAAAAATCTAAATCTGCAAATTAAACATTATAGTATACATATAAAAACATAAATAATCAACATAAATCATGTTCCCTAATAAATATTATAAGGTTTACTTTTAATACGAAATTTAATTATAAATATATACGATATTAAAGGTTGAAAAATCACATTATAAATAATATTCTCTGAAAAGAAAGAAAAAAAAGACAGAAAAAGAAAAGGAGAGAAATAAAATGTCTCTCCTTTTCGTTACAAAAATATTTTAAATTAGTGCAAAATAATTTGCCATTAAATTGCGATAATCTGTACATATTATTAGTCCAATTTTTTATAATTTTAATTATATATAATAATCCGTTAATTTATTGAATTATGCATACACGAAACTTGTGTGTACTTCTCTTCTAACGGATATACAAGCTCGATGTTTTGGCCTCGATGATGTAGCCCGATCAAAGTAGAAAGCCGTAGGGTAAGAAAGGTCGAGCAAATGTCAAGGAGTGACATATTAAATACGCTGAAATGCCATCGACTTCTATCAAATGATGTAAAAGAGCGATTCCGTCGTTTTCTATCCTTTTTCTAATTTAATGTAATATATTTAATATCGATGTAACATTTAATCTATTTATGAAGTTCTTTTCAACGCATTTATTATATATAATAATATGATAAAATTGTTAAGAAATCTATATTCACAATAGCGAGAGATAGGGGAGAGTGCATAATTATAATCTTTTAAATATAGCTTAATCATTTCGATATCGAGCTCACACTCATACTCTCACCGAATTAAATAGATAATTTTATTGTTTTTTCTACAAAGAGTAAAATCAAAAATTTAAAATCACATTATATATTTTCTTTTTATTGATCATTAGCGGGAGTCTTTTTTATTAATTTGTATTAAATAAATAAATAAAATATTAATATTTCTCGATAGATATGTATATAAAAAAGATTAATCGTAACATGTAAAGTAGAATATATGAAATAGACGCTTTTATTAACTAGCTAGGCCGAGGGTTGTTAGCACCGAATGGTTGAACTGTTTTGGACAACCAAAGACACAGGAGTATAATTAATTCGGCCATTCGGCTTTATCGCTACGCTATTATGCTCGGACGTATCTCGTCGCGCGAATATTCGGTCCGCTCTCCCTCCGGATCCGCGAGTTTTCCGAGAAATTAGTCGGCATGATTTGCATCTGACGTGCACCTCGGGGCACCCACACGTCGCTCGCATAGTTCGCAACTCTAACTTTCCTAGCTGCTATCTCTCTCTCCCTTCTCTGTTTCGCGAATGTCTCCGAATATCTTCGCATCTACGTTGGAAGCCCTCGTGTCAATTATACTCGTCAAGAGAGGAAGCGTCGAGCATATTCTTCTTGTTCTATGACATTGATCCTTCTCGAATGTCTCGACTTAGGGGAGTTAACTGCCGTTTTGCATCAATCTTAGAGCGACGGAAGCTGCTAGAAACATCAACACGTAATTTCATATAAAAAACAATAAATTATTTATCAATTAGAAACTCTCTCATTAAGAAAATTTCGACAATTACAGGCCTTTAATAATATATTTCTAACATTATAAAACATGATAAAATTTCCAAAAGAAAGTTTGGAAAATGTAAAAGAGAAGATCGCGTCACGCTCTCGCCAGTTCTGAATAGACGTGGAAATTCTCCTTTTCGCGATCTCGCAAAAGCCGTGACTTGCGGGCTCTTGAGTCTCGCGCGCCGATTATCTCCATTCGGCAGATCCGAGCCGAGATGTTTCGGCTCGAGTCCCGGCTTTCGAACGAGTCTCGGCTTAACTCGGTTGTTGTGAATAAGTAAGCGAAGTGTTGCGAAGTGCTGCAGAAGTTAGGCAAACCCCTGGCTGGGGTGGCTCGAATTAAATTGTTATACGGATGAGCTGCCACGAGGAATACTCGAGCAAGCGACTTTGCCGTCGCCGCCGACGTCGGCGCCGCCGGGTGTGAATGTTTAATTACCGGCTTTCATTATTGTTAATAAAATAATAGCGCAGCCGGAGAGAGAGCCTGCGGAAACGAGACCGCATTTGGCGCAATCGCACCTCGAAGCTTATCATTTCGTCGGCATTTCTCGGAGTTTTGCCGATCGTTGAATACGATTGACATGGAGATTCGTCCTGCTTTAATCTTTCCCAGAAAATATATTCAAATTGCGATATTAATCGCATTCTTACTTACCTGTGATTGCATTGTTGACAAGCGAAGCACTCCAAGTGGTAAACGTTAGTCCTCGCGCGCATCACCATCTCGAATGCTGGGATAACTTTGCTGCAGGCTGCGCAGTGACCGGTATTTCCGAAAAGTCTGTTAAACACGCAAGAGAAAAAGCGATCATGCCGTTTCAAATATTTCAAGCAATTATTGCACGCGATTCAAATAACGGTCGCATAATTAAATATATCATGGCAAGAATATTATTGGAAGTTCGGCGGAATCTGACTCGTATTATAACGCAAAAAAATCGTTCTCGATGACGAGAGCGAGCGGAAACTTTCGCCCCGCGCGTCGCGAAAACCAATAAGCTTACGGGCACCACGAATATGCCGTCTTCAAATATTGGGCCATTAATAAAGGCCACAATGTTTCGATGGTGCGTATTCCTCGTGAGGACGCGCCACCTGCGCTCATTCCCTCGGGACTTTGTAATCTCAACACGGTTTATTTGCTCCCGCTTGTTTATATGGGATGTGGATGTATTCAATAAGGGAAACTCATCTGTAAAATTCGATTTGTTGCCGTCGCTTTCCTCCGTTTTCTCTCTCCTCCACGATCGTGTCCTGCTTTTTATCAATCTGTCTATCTATCTACTTTTATTGACTCGCGTCGGTGCAAGACGCGCGCGATTAAATCTGCGAAAATTCCTCTGGAAAGAATTTTGCGAGAAACGGATCGATCGATCGATCGGATTGTTTTTTTTTGTATTCGCTACTCACCGTAGATAATCTCTTTTGCAAAGGATGAGATTGGCCTTGGTGTAAAGCGTCGAGCCGACTTCACCGAGTCTGCAGTCGCAACATCCGCATTTCAAGCAGTCCTCGTGCCAATACATGTCCAACGCTTTCAGAAGGTATCTGATTAAAAGAAAATTTATAATGCTTATATAAAAAAGTACGAATCTATAGAGCTATAGAATACGCTTCTAATATAATTATTTATTTAAAATACTTAACTAATTACTATTAAACTAGTAATTAGTAAAATCATAATATATTGAAAATGATTAATATCAAAATTACACATACGTGTTCTGTAAATTCATATATTTAAAAAATTGTCAATAATATCGATAGAGAAAAGATTCAGAAACTAGTGATATTATTTTATTAGAGATTGTTTTTTCTCGAGTACAAATATTATAAATATATATAATATATAAATATTATATAATATATAAATATTATATAATGATTAAGAAATTGAATGCACTTTTATTGTATTCTATTCTTTTATTGACTTGCTGATGTTGCACAGTGAAATACATGTTACGTATTTTTTTATATAAGCTACTTTTTATAATTGCCAATTTTATTTTCGTTGAAATTGTGAATTTAAACGTATTCTCTGCGATTTACATTTATGGAAAAGTGAAAACCCATTTAACCTATTTTTTCTACGTTCGATCACGGAGAAAAGATAGATTAAACGTTAAGTAAATCGTTCTTACACACGATATATTCGATAATATTCTTCCTAAAGATACGGTACATAATGTATACATGCGAAACACTAGTGTCACGCAACGAAGCGGAGCACTTACCTCTCGGTAATCGCTTTTCCACAGCCCGCGCATTCTTGTTGAGTGGCCCCGTTCTTGCCCGACTCGCTCTTGCTCCCATCCATAGTCATTTTATCGCCTACAACATGATACAGAAATACTTTGCTTAATTGTTGTATTGTAGCGAGTTGAAAGTCTAACGCATCTCGTAAATTTGCGCCGAACGCGGTTTTTAAAAACATTTATTTAAATTTTATAGAAAATATATCAAGGAGATAATTATTGTCATAGATTAATTTTGCTGTGACGAAGAGTTAGTCATGTATTACGGCATTTTTATCGCGATCCTGGAGCTGCAGCGATTCCGTCGGATCGAATGAGTAATCGCGTTGGCGTGCTTTTAACAAGTTTCACCGGCATCTGGCACTAGAATGTCGGCTTGTCTATGAGTAATTAGAGTTACGGCTTGAGAATTTAACGGCGCGGTTAGTGCCATCTGTGTCCACCCCGTTCGATCCTGAGCGTGTAGCCTTTCTCATCCTCGGATCCCTCCCGCATCGTAGCGTCCCATCCTACGGCCTCTTTCTCGCGATGCGGTCAGAGTTTAGAATCGAATTAGTTTGACCCTCCCATACTCTCGTCTCTCTCCGCTTATTGCGCATTTAAGCACCACCAGCTCCGAAACAACCAACGACTCGGACCGACCGCTGTCCGTGCTCCGGATAAACATTAGAGATATCCCCCTAAAGAGCCACGATGTTCTTTTAAGCGCGAAAGAATAGCACAGGGCTTTACAAATCGCGTAAAACGACCATGTAAATCTTTTCCCGAATCGGTGAAAAGTATCGAGTTGTTCAGAAAAATTAAAAAGCATTTTTGAGAGATGCGATTTCCGGAACTATTAGGAATTGGATCGATGACAAGATGTTGCGTTCGAGGACTGTTTGGTGTTTATGCGGTTAATATCGGGCATGTTGACGGGTCTCGGTCTTTTTCCTCGGGCGATGTCCACCGGCGCCGCACTGTACCAAGTTCGATCTCAGCCACCCGGTATATTTACGAGCCCGTACCCGTTGGATGCTATGAGCGAAGTTTGTGCGGTTTCAATATGTCCTCCCTCTTCCCTTAGCATGGACACAATATTACGCGGGTTAATATCTTCCGTGCGGTCGGGGACTTCGGGGCAAATATTAATACGATGCCTTTGATCCGTTAATTATTAACGGCGACGAACGGGGATGAAAAATCTGTATCGCCTTGGCGGAACGCGAAAATTGCCGAGGACAAAAACCGGATGCCGGATGATGGCCCCGTTTTCCGATGCGCTTCTAATTAAACGCCTTTGTGTCGCGAGTGGCGGACAAACCCGCATACACATCGCGAGGGTGTACGCGTATGTGTGCGCGTCCGCGCACCATTTTTTGCACGAGGCAAACGCGACGGAGGAAAGTTTTCGTTCACGGTAACGAGAGATGCTTCCGTGCACAACCGAGGCACCTCGGTTACAATCGCATATGCGGGGGCGAGTTAATTAATCGAGTTGAATCGATTACACGCTTTACTTCTCCGCCCGCGGGTTACCGATAAATTGAATACGTTATAAATAATAATACAATTGTTATTCGCGAGCGTGCACACACCTACCCGTGGTAATGATTAATGGAATAACTAACTAGCGGGGTAAATTATGCAAACTATTAAATCCGCCTGCATATAAACTTTCCCACATAATAATCGCTACGCGATATCGATTGGCGATTGTTAAATTTATGTTGGTCCTTCTCGTGAATCTCTCGTCAGCGTAATTAGATTAAACACATTTTTCAACGTATTTTTTTTAAATGCAAGATAAATGTGCGCACGAGCTTTATGCGTGCACGCTTATGCTGCGCCGCGTCCATATGTTTTAAAGTTATCAACGGAATTTCTGTCGGTTTGCTCGATTGTTGCGCATTCGCGACTCGCGAACGTTAGCGAAACGTCACTTGTTGGCGAACGAAAGTGGCGAGAGTGTTTCCTTTGAAACTCGGAATCCCCCGCGCGTACGAACTACGATACTACAGAAATATTTGGAGTTACGTGCACTGGAATTTCACCGCAGAAATTCCTGCGGACGCCGACCTGGATTCCGCCGACGACCTCGAAAACCTTCGACTGCCAAGCTAGGTTGGCGCTCAATTTCCACTTTGTATTTAACCGCGATTTTCATCAGCGCGGCGGTTTCCCTCGAAGAAGAGCATCCGTCCTTTTGTCGCGTTCCTCAGCCAATTTTCGGATCAATTTCACGGATTCGACGTTGATCGTGCCCTCTCTGTTTCTTCTCGAACCTGCGTAACGGCTAGTGCGAGCACGAAATGAAAGAAACTGGCGTGAAATTCGCGGTACACGATCAATGGTTCGGTTTTTGAGCGGCGCCATCGATTTTTGCGACTAATTACTCGACCGAGGTTATTGTCGTCGGGTAGTCAGCGAAGCACGACGGAAACAGCTCGCTTCAAACGTTACCGAGGAGGGTTGATAACGAGAGAGAGATTCCCCCACGAAAGTGGCTCGCATCGCTGACCGCCGGAACTGTTCATCAGGTACGTGATCGAATCATCCACGGATGCTGATCCTCAAAGCATCGATAATTCGATTAGCCGCTACACGTTCGAGAACCGCTAACCTGTCCACGAGTCGGTTGTGTACGTGCTCTCCTTGACCATGCCGTTGTGTGCTCTCTCGGTGGTCATTATCATTGCGATTGGTATTATGGAAGCGTGGTGGATTGTCTCTGCATCTCTCCGTCCTCTCGATGATCGAGAGAGGGCATAGAAGGATTAAAAAACAATGTAACTTTGACCGTTCATTTTCCAATTGATGTGTTTGAATGATTTATTCGGCGGTCTCCGGGTCGATCAATATATGGCAATCCGGTAAATTCGATACGAGTACAAGACAGCTTCGCTATCGTGATATCGTCTGTAATATAAACGGGTCTGTAAAATCAAGAGTACGATGGTAGGGCGGAGGCAATCTGCTTATCGACGCAGCCGAGCAGTCTCGATGCAATTCTCTCAAGGCTCCGCCCCTGCAGCATCCATGACACTCCCAGCGAGCCACCCCTGGAACTCTTTAAGAAATAAAAAGCTCACCCCGCCTTGCTATTTTAGAAAATTCTCAATTTCTCCTGACATCTCTTCCGTTTTTATACTTTATAATTGAAGCATCATTGGCACTCGAATATTTCAATTCAAAGTCATATGTTTGAAAGACAGGAACGATGACAATTATACGCGTCATTTTTTTCTCGATTCCATTAATCTCATTTATTTGAAACAGCCTAATTCAGCTTCAACGAATGTATCACATTCACCTGTCCTCCTCTCCAATCTCCCCCGTGAGGGAGAAAATCCCTTACGTCAGGAAGCGCTTACCGAAATTTCCACTCGTCCAGGGTACGCGGTCGCGCTTTTGTCTTTAATAATGCTTCTGCAGCGGCGTTATCTCTTACTTTTAGAACGGCCGGGCGGGCGTCCGGAGAGTCGGTCCATTAATTAGGCGGGCCGCATTAAGCCGAGCATTAATATACTCCGCTGGCTGTTTTGTTTTATCCCGCAGGAAGGACGTAACCTACCCCGGAGGCTGACGGCGGGGGTGGTCGCGCCGGGAGAGAGAAAGAGAGAGACAGCTGGGTGGCCGGGGGACAGGAACAGGGCAGGGTAGGGAATGAGGGGAATTATTTCGATGCGGGGGCAACCTGCTAATCCGACCTGCCACGCAACGCCAAGCCGCCGCCGCCGTCGCCTTATCCCGGGGGGCTGTTTAAATTCCGTAAATCGCCCGTGCGCGCAAGAGCGTCTCCCAGCCCCGACGGTGCCGACGGTGCCGACGATACGCATTGCCTACGTTGGACGGTAGTTCTCGAGAAATTAGGGAGATAAGATTCGAGCCGCGTGCCGTTAGTCACGTGCGAAAAACGCGACATCGTCGTTTCTCAAAGGGCAAAATTCTCTTTAGAGAATAATCGCCCGCAATGACCGACGACAAGTATTTCTCGTACTCGAATTGAATAATTAACAGCCAAAGTTATAGACATTTTTTCTCAAAGCGGGCATCGTCAAGGCAGATTTTGGACAGTTTTTGTTTCATAGCTTAATCTCTATAAATTTATAATTCTATACAAATCGAAAATATAATTTATATATAAATTTGTTATTAAAATATCAATGTAACATTCTTGTTTGATGTATTATTGAATACACATTTTACGTCTTTAACGTTAAATTTTCTATAAAAATAAATTTATAGAGAGATAATTTATTTAAAAAATGTTTCTCGATAATCCTGACATTTAAAATATATATCTTTATCATCAATTATCCCCGCATTATATCGACTTTATTCTTCGGATAGAGGACTACCGTGGCGTTTTTCCAGACGATTACCAAAGACTGTTCCCAACACGTGTGTCTGTAACTACTTCAGTGAAGAAGTTCTCATATCGTCGCCCACTCGAATCATCGCTTTCCCTGCGTCGCGATAACTTCCCTTTCCCGCGCCTTTCGTCGTCAGCTCGTTACTTCGCATTTAATACGTACGCGAAAACGCGCGATAGCGGTACAATACGTTGCTAAATCGGCTTAAGTTTATACTTGGATCGACTCGTCGGGGGCTAGGAGTAAGAGCCCCCGGTATAACGACGTAATTTAACGTCCGAAAGGAATATTTCCCACGGAATAAATCTCGCGTAACAGCGCCAGTGAAATCCTCGTTTACCCGGCGTTCAACCCTTGCTAATGGGGGTAATTTAAGGGATGTTTTAAGCGCCCCCGGGTCACACGTGAGCCGCACAAAAAGTTCGCGTATTACGACCGTGGCCGCCGTAATCACGCATTAGCATTCCGAATGGCCGGAATCGTCGGGATATTCTGGATATGTTGAGAACGGTGCACTTGAACCTCCGTTGCAAAAAGGAACATCGATTCTTGTCTTCTTCATTTGAATTTTTCTCGGCGCGATACGCGACGCAACAAACGCTCGTGGGTCTCGTCTTTTATTCGAATATGAAATTTATTCTTCAATCTTAGGTATCTTTTAAACTTATTGTATGTTTATTTCTATAAAGAGATATGAGATTATATAATTATATTATCTACC